CCCAAACATTTCCTCGCTCTTTTTGGGTTCAATTTCTTGCGGTGTGGAGTGTTTCCGGGCAGTTTATTAGTAATACAACAACAATAACCTGGGACACAATAATAACCGGCTTAGGTGGCTTGTTAGCAACTGTCATAAAGCCTTTGAAGACGCAAATATAGGCACACTTCTACACGAACAAGCGTTTGCGTGGCAATCTAACACAATCGATTGTTCACGTATACCTGTATGGTAATCATACATTCTGGAAACGAGGTTTTCGTGCGGCTTACGATGCAACATCATCATCATCCCAGCCATTAGTTGACAATTCTTTCTTAATGCATACAACAAAAGGCCAAAAACATTGCCAACACGAGTCCACATGTTAAACTGTAAAGCAACAATATTATTGACGATCTGACTGTTTCAAAATTTGCGGGAAAACGTGTAATGGCACGTGCAACTTTGATGCGGTTGCATTTACATACCTCTAAGCCGCCGACATCTTGCATTTTTGAGAGAAGCTGCGAACTTTCACCGGCTAAATGCAGCAAACTTGTGGAATCACTTTTGACGTGCATGACAGCAGTTTCATGAGCTGTTCGTATTATGTATATGCAGGCGAATTGTTGATAAAAATTGAGATACCCTATTGCGAGCTGTAACTGCGTTAACATGACGTTAAACCGTGGCCACCTCTGACGCTCTCCTCTTCAGCGTGTATAGGGAATCGGCATGAGCCTATTTCATTTCGGAAAAATACTGTTTTTAAAATGTAAATAATTTGCAGAACTGGATTTTCTTGAAAGCAATGAAGAGTTTGCAGAAGAGCTGCAACCAGAGGGGAACGAAGACGGTGAGAAGCTTGCAAATCGACGTGCAGCAGCTGTTCAGGAATGGCTTGCAGAGCAGGATTCATTGCTAATCGATGAAGATGAAGAATTTGAAGAAGAGCTGCAACCAGAGGGGAACGATGACGATGAGGAGCTTGCAAATGAACATGTAGCGGCTGTTCGGGAGGAGCTTTCAGAAAAGAATTCATTGATAACCGAAGAAGACGAAGAATTTGAAGAAGAGCTGCAACCAGAGGGGAACGATGACGATGAGGAGCTTTCAAATGAACATGTAGCGGCTATTCGGGAGGAGCTTTCAGAAAAGAATTCATTGATAACCGAAGAAGACGAAGAATTTGAAGAAGAGCTGCAACCAGAGGGGAACGATGACGATGAGGAGCTTGCAAATCGACGTGCAGAAGCTGTTCAGGAATGGCTTGCAGAACAGGATTCATTGCTAATCGATGAAGACGAAGAATTTGAAGAAGAGCTGCAACCAGAGGGGAACGATGACGATGAGGAGCTTGCAAATGAACATGCAGCGGCTATTCGGGAGGGGCTTTCAGAAAAGAATTCATTGATAACCGAAGAAAACGAAGAATTTGAAGAAGAGCTGCAACCAGAGGGGAACGATGACGATGAGGACCTTGCAAATCGACGTGCAGAAGCTGTTCAGGAATGGCTTGCAGAACAGGATTCATTGCTAATCGAT